TATTTAGTAGTATCACTGTAACTGTAGTGTAACAGACGCGACCTAACTATTGATAATAGAAATCCCACCGTCTACTTAAACGAAATGGGAGAGTTTTAGAATAGTTTAATGTCTGGAATGAATATGATATTTGTGATGAATTATCAAACAGTTCCCGCCCTTTTGACAGACGTTTTATTGTTCACATGTTTGTTGGGGATTATGGAATAATATCATTTTCTTACTAGAAAGCTACTGAAATCTTAAATATTTTCTGTCAGAATCATGATTCATTTGACGAAGTTGAATATATGGACACACAGCCTCCAAAGGGTAATGCATATCACCTGGACTCAGATGACTCGTTCAACGATGAAGCATTTGAGGTGAGTATAACTCATATATGATTACTTCATTTTGAAGTCATAGAAGCATCATCATATCTTCTAAACTGACATTTTCGATTTTCGTTTTGTTTGCTGTCAAAACGCTTGTCAGCCAAAATTGTGACTATAATCTAGATCTAAGTGAACGAGTGATGAATTTTGTCTATTGCACTCTATTTATTACCAACAGTCAATGTGCTTACAACTGACATACTCTCATGTTTCAGTTCTTGCTTCGCTTTTCATTTTCTGTATTTATTGATTAAGACTAGCTTAGATTCATTAAGGGTGTTACGGTCTTCAGCTATACAGCATCCATCCTAACTTAATACAAAATCTTATCAGAATGGTTCCGACTTTTGTTCCACTTTATTTGCTCTAAGCACCTGGTTTTCTATAACAAATTATTTGTAAATCAGTAATCTTGATTGCATCCCAGTTTGTTCAGATCATACCAGTTCAACAACGTGTCATCAGCGGAGAGAGGCATGGTAATCTTTGTAATTGGAATTTATTCTTTTTTTTGTTGTCCGGAACCTTTGTGGGGATTGCTATCGCACAGTTTTCATTGTTTTTTATGCCCAGTGATATCTATAACCCATCCAGATATGCACGGTCAGTTCCGAGGTTTTCTCAAAGACGACGGAGATGAATTTGAAGATGAGGGTATGATACCAGTTCAAAACAAAACAAATTTAAAAAAGGCACTTACATTAAGTCGCCTCACTTGGCCAACAGCTTCGCGATGAGATGTACAATACACTGAAGGAGAAGTTTGGCTTCAATTCGTTCCGTCACCGTCAAAAAACAGCGATCACAGCCATTCTTCTGGGATATGACGCATTTGTGCTCATGCCGACAGGTAATAAAATTCATTATTGCAGTGTATCGCATTTCTTGAGGTAATAATTCAACCAGCTTTCCACGTGATCCACCCAAAACAAGACTGCGTAATTAAAATGTCTTCTGCTGTTTCATTTAAACAAAGACCATATTCCTATTTTCTTTTGCCGATATGTTTATTTTCCTCTTGTTTTAAAGTCTTTTAAATTATGTACCGTATATTTTAGATGCTCTAATGGCCTTATCAGTCGGTCTTATCAACTTTGAATTGCATGCCTATTTATTATAGGTGCTGGAAAAAGTTTGTGCTACCAGCTGCCAGCAGTAATGTCGCAGGGCGTGACAATAGTAGTGTCGCCACTAAAGTCACTCATCGAAGACCAACGTTCGAAAATGAGAGACCTTGCGGTAATTTCTTGGAGATCCTTTTACTTGATGCTTTTCGCAGGGGTTTGTTTTGTAGCAAATCAAAGTTTCTCTAAATTTATGTCTCTTGATCTTCTCTTAAGAATTCCACTAAATTTGGACCTAATCACGAAACGCCTTTTCCTAATTTTTTGCTCCTTCAGATTCCATGTGAAGCTTTGACGTCTGATCAAAACGATGGCGACCAGTCAATTATTTACAATCGTCTTATGTCTTCACCTCCAGACATCAAATTACTCTATGTTACACCAGAAAAAGTAAGCAAAATAACTAAGTGATTAGTTCATTGAAGGCTTATAGCATAGCAATTTGATTCTTCCTCAGATCAGCGCTTCTGGACGACTAGCCTCGGTTTTCGCTAGTTTGCATCGCCGAAATTTCCTAACACGTTTTGTCATAGATGAAGCTCATTGTGTCTCACAATGGGGTCACGACTTCCGTCCTGATTATACGAAGCTGCAGTCGCTTAGAAGGGATTATGCGCAACCGAAGGTTATAGAACTTGCTTATTTTGGATCTGGTTTCTGGTGATGTTCACAGCCTGGGCAAACTGTAAAGCGGTTTAAATGCAAATTAGAAAACCTTAGAAATACAAATTGCTTCTTTTCAGGTACCTATCATTGCGCTTACGGCAACAGCTACTCCCAAGATTGTTGCTGATACCAAGGATCATCTAGGCATTGCGAACTCGAAATTGTGAGTGTCACAGATTAAATTCTTTTGGAAATCTTTTACTACTAATGGTTAGGTTACATCGTAAATAGTTCCATTGTTCGTATATAAGTCTAGAACCTAGAGTCACATTGATACCGGAAAGGGACTGTCTTAATGGTATGTTGCTGCTAAGGTTTTCATTTCCATATTTAGCGTATGATGTGCAATACACAATGTGCACTACATTTTGCTGGGCGATAGCTGACAGCTGTCTGAGTTTGAAATGTAGGAGTTTGTGTGTTAAAACTGGGAACGTATGCTGCATTGCAATAAGGATAGATTCATAATAGCGAAATTGATACAATTGTATCAGAGTTAGCCGAGTGGTTAGTGATATTCTTTCCGAGATCTCATCTCATGATGCCTGACGATTCCAGCGTCAGGCTGCCCCTCAGGGGCGCGCGACAAGATAGTGGGCAAGGGCCACCGTCTTACGAGCGGAGATGGGTTAGAATGCTAGCTCTTCGAAGGCAATTAAAACTCAGATTCTCCAATTAGTGCCATCAGTGTCGGAACCCTCGGGCGACATCTGTCTCTGAGAACCTTAGAAGGAAGATTGTCGCAGTTGAGCGATTGATGATCGACTTCTGAGCATAAATATTGATACTGAGAGAAAAATACTTCGGATTGTCACCGCCTATGCTCCGGAGTAAGGAGAGCTTAACGACTACATCAAATCCATATCACAAGATAAGATACTCCTATTTGGAGCATCTCAACGATCATTGAAAAAAACAGTGCAGGGAGGTGTCACGAGAACCACGGGGGACATGCTAAGAAG